ATATATATGCGATGATATATGTATAGTATATAATATAATTGACATAACTTTATATATATGTATATATATTTATATGTGTGTATGCATGTGTATATGTGTTTGTAAGTATGTACAGCACATTTTCTCTAATAGAGCTTACTAAATGCGTGATCGAACCGAGTACTCGTCCGAGAGTAACCTGCAACAGCGAAACAACAGCCTGTCACTGCTCCCCAAGTGTTACATACTTATTTCTACATTTTGTTATTATTTTTTCTTTTTTTTTTTAATTTTCTAATAACGATAGAAGGAAAATGAAAAATATAGTAAAGAGGGTTGGTCGGATTGAAAGGTGCCGAAAAAAGAGTAGAAAAGACGTATCGTATTTGTATTCCAACTCGATAACAATTGAGATATTATATTTTACTCTCTCGTATAATTAGAATCAACTAAAATATATAAATATAATAATAATAATAATAATAATAATAATAATAATAATAATATTAATAATTAGATTATATTATTATTATTATTTGAAGTCGTATTTTTTTTTTATATCATTTGGTCGATATCGATGAGTTTTTGTGCGCGTGCAAAGAATACGAAAAATGTATATGCATATACGTTTACACATACACACGCTTACTTGCTTGCTTGAATATTGCACGACCTTGGATTTAATGAACTCCGTGTGCATTTTCTTTTTTTTTTAATATTTCCTTTTTCTTGTTTTTTTTTTTGGTATATTTTTATTTTTTATATCCTTCTTCCTACCCTTCTTTTCCCGTGACTCTCCCCCATTGAGTGTAGCTATCCAGACACCGCTTAGTTGCTCGTTAGAATAGAAACTATGAAAATGTGTGTGTGTGTGTGTGTGTAGATGGGTTTATATCACCCATCTCTCTTGTTAAATTCGTTAATTTAACATGCGACATTATCTTTTTTTTCGCGAGCATGGATATTAACGAGTTTACTCTTGCGTAGCAATTTTCGTGTCCACTATACCAACCATCATGGTAAATAAATCTAACCAAAACGAGAGAGAGAGAGAGGCAGTAAGAAGAAGAAGATATGTTTTCGTACGTGTACAAATATACTAACCGTAAAAAAGTTTGAATTTTTATTATCTTAAAAATTATAAAAGATTAACGAGTTGAATTGTGTTTTTAAGAAATATCAATATTTGATTAAGTTCATATAATGTTCTTTTTATAAATTACACATTTCTCTCACAGTATAGAACATCTTTGGCAACTTGTTGAAAATACATAGGGGGAAAAATATTAAATACTCGATAAAATGATTTCCATGATGATTAAAATTTGTTGACAAAAAATAAGAGAAATTATATCTCTATAAGTAATTTTATTTTCGGTAAATAATAAATTTACCTTCAGTTATCCTAAAAGTATTTATTTGTTTGTTATAAATATCTTTTTTCTCAAATTTGATTTTAATAACTAACTAAACTTTCGGGAGATAGTGTACATACATGTAACAACATATGTAGGATATCTTTCGGTGTTGGATGACGTGGAAAAAACCCGACACGAGACGAATCGTGTTCGTACGAAGAAACTTTCAAGATGGATACTCGTTGGGAAACAAAAAATGGACGCTGGATGAGAGTAGCTTAAAGAGAGAGAGAAAGAGATAGATATAGACAACGAAAGTCTCGACAACTTTGTTTTTTTATTTTTTTCTTCGTGTACTTTAACCCGCTTTAAAAATGCGCTAAATTGAACGTCCTATTAATTTATTATGCTTAAGAAAGAAAGAAGAAAGGAAGAGGATGATGGAAGGGGGTGGGTTATAAGGGTTGAACCGCAAACACGCTTATGCTAGGAAAATATTCTCTTCTTGATGGAATTTAATAATTTATTTTCTTCTTATTTTTTATCGTATTATAATTTATTCGGTATAAAAATTACCGATACATATATTAAAGAGGTCATTTTCTTAATGGATTTTCTTTCTTATGGAAAGTTGGACAAATTTGTGAAAGTCGTTTTACGAGGGTTCATTGAACATCCATATTTTATATTTTTTTTTTATATTTAACAATCCTCCGTCTCTTCAAAAAGGGAGAAACACTGTGTGTGTGTGTGTGTGTGAATAATTTTGTAAATAAATTATAATATTTATAAAGATTATTATACTTCGACAGTCGTTGCTTTCTTTCTCTTTCTTTCTCTCTCTCTCTCTCTCTCTCTCTCTCTCTGAGAATATTTTCGTAAATTGTATTCAGTTTGTTCGTTAAAAGTTATCGTGTCTTAACTTATGTATTTATGTATCTCGGTAATGATCACAAACTGGCAAGCATCAATTGCGAAGCGTCAAAGAAGAAGCATTTTAGTTTATTGCAAAAAGGAGAGTTCGAATTACGAGTCAGTAAAATCTTATAGGCGAGGCAAAAGAAAATATTTCATCCAATAAAATGATGTGAATCGTTTTGAATGTATAGAAAACGTTGATGGAACGTTTAGTAATAGTAGTAGTAGTAACAGTAGTAGTAGTAGTGGTAGTAGTATTATGGTAATTGGTAGTAGTTTTTCGCGATTTTAAATATATACGCGTAATTTCTACGCGTGCATGCTTTTTTTTAATATTATACGTGTATATAAGTAAATATGTATATAATAAAAATATGTAGGCGGGTATAAACGTATATAATAGTATACAGATTCTCGAATGCATGCAAATGAATGAAAATAAGTTGACTGCGAGTCTGGGTGTAGAATAAAAGATGTATTATTAAATTGTACGTGGAATAATTATATTATTGTTCGGGAAAAAAATTCGTTTTGTTCTAGAGTAATTGTCTTATATAATATATTGTATTTTTCTTCGTATTATTTAACAAAATAAATTTAAAAAAATAAAATAAAAATACGCGCGCACACACCTACTTGCAATAAATATGATCTTGAAGAGTAGCATCTGTGAAAATTATAAATTAAGTAGAGTTAAAGGGGTTGGGAAGAAATAGAGCAGCGTTAAATCAAAGTTTTTTATTAGGAAATATGAATGGAAGAAAAAATCAAATTTAAAAAAAATATATGACCAGCGACGTAAAATAAAAACCAAAGATTCTAACTAAAATTCAAAGATTTGAATTAAATGTATGCAATTTCGAATCGTGATTAATAAACAAAAATCCAAATTAATTAAAAATTGAATCTTTTACGCAAAGATATTATTTACAAACCCTAAATCTATAGAACTTGGAAGATAAAAAAATCTAACAAATTTAATATATAATCGTGAGAAGAAAATATGTTAATTAAAACGTAATCGTTAGCTTTGAAGAGCCTACAATGAACTTTAGTTCATAGATAAAATCATTGAAAGAAATATATCGAACATTTTGTTCTAATGGAGAAACACAGTTTGAAGTTTCTTATTGTTTCACATATTACACGAAAATGTCGAATGGAAATATAACAAAGATAGAAGGAGAAATAATAATTATTATAATCGAGTTTGGTGGTGGTCATCAGTTATTTCATTTAACAGGAGCTGTGTTCTTCGATCAAATCTTCAAAGTTATTTCCTAGATAAAGATATGTTTCCTATAGATAAGACATCGCGACGTATTATGTTCGGCGCCTTTTCTCCAAAAGCAGATAATCAATGAAGACGTTTGTCCGAACGAGACTTCGTCGTCGTCGTCGTCGTCGATAAGACGCCGACCTTCATAAACGCCCTAGTAAAAGGGAATCCAGACACATAAGAAGAAACGTGGAATCTATCTTAGATATTCCATTTCATTTTCTGATTAATGATTACGATTCAACATAATAATATATCCGTGTCTTTATCAATATCTATCAAAATACGAAATTTAATTCAATGTGTGTGTGAAATAAATAAAATTATAGTTCGAAATCGTTAACGTGATTGATTCCTATCTTTCGATCGTAATCGATAATCGATGAACGAATGAAATAAAATAGAAAAACTTGTAACATTAATTTTTTTTTTGTGTTTTTTTTTTTTGAGGAAGAAAAAAACGCTGCTCTATATAACGATTCTCTTCGATGAAATAAAAATAAAATTATATATTATATAATAGAAAAAAAACATAGTTATGGAATAAATATTACAGGAGAGGATTATTTAATAAATAAAAAATAGAATAAAGTATAAAAAAATAAATAACATTGGAAAATAAAAATAGTGTAATTATGGATATGGAATGAAACAAATAGCCAAGGAAGTAGAATAAGAAGAATAAGAATAATACTAAGAAAGAATAACAAATAAACTAACGAAAAAAAAAATGTCTGGCTGAAGGACAAACTCGGAGTTATATTTTTCTTGTTTTCATTTTGTCTATCCATTATTTTTATTTTTCTACTGTTTCTCTCCGTTTTTCGTTCAACAACCAGACGTTGTACTTGACTTTTACTTACTCGGGATACTTGACGTTGGGAAGAGCCTTGAGGAAGCAACGTTGACGTAGAATTCCCTCCCAGAGTTGGACACCGACGATACCGAATATGAAAAATACGAAGAAGCACAAGAGGAGGACGTTGCCTAGCATGGGAAGAGTGTCGAGGAGCAGCATCACGAGAATTCGCATACCTGTTGGACACGTTCCAATTGGAAATTTTATTAACAGATTATCGCTTTTAAAAATAAGAAATAAAAATATATCTATGTATAGTTATATATATATATATATATA